TCCAGGAGATTTGACACCTCTGCCCTTCTTGGCACTGGAGCTCTCATGCACATAGCCACAGTCAGACAAATGCACAAACACAAAATTAAAAAGTAATAATTTTTAAACTGGTGGGTGCAATAGTCCAGGTCTGTAGTCCAAACACTTCGGAGATGGTAGAGGAAATGAGATCCACAGGTTCTAGGTCATCCTTAGCTATTATACTGAGTTCAGTTCACGGCCAGGCTGGGCTACATGTGACCACCGTGGATGTGGGGTATGGGTGGAAAAAGGAGGAAGACAAGGAAGAAAGGGGAAGGAGGAGGAAGAGAGGAGGAGGAAGTTAAACAAACACGACAAGAATGATTGCTGAGTATGAGACAAGATACTTTGGGGTGAGATCAAACCTTGGCTTTGAAGTCTGGAGCTTCCTGAAAATGGGGAGATTTGCAAGGCAGATCTGGAAGGCTGTGTATAAAAAAGGGAGCCTCTCAGATTAGCAGGTGGCTGGGAAACAGAGTGAGGGACTGGCAGGGCCCCAAGTAGGACTGAGTTGTGCAATGTAGAGCCCTGGGGAGGGTTTCACTTCTTGGTCCACACCCTCAAACTCCTTGAGAAAAATCACATTTCATATGCAAACTTAGGATGCTTTTCACTGCTGTACAGAGGGCTTCCCTGGTGAGCAGAGCCCCTGGTTTTGGCTCCAATGGTGCTGTGGATAGTGAAGGGAGGGTGGAAGGTGACCTGACACTGCCTGGGGAAACCAGCTGGTTCTTAAAGTGTCTATGAGATGGATCCAGGTGGTTCCAGAAAGTATCAAGAAAGAGTCTGGGGTGCTGGCGGCCCCCCTCACACTGGAGCATTGTAATCGCACAGGGGAAGCGGCTGAGGAATGGGCTAGCTTGAATGAGCACCTAGTTAGTCTCACCCTTCCTAATCCTCAAAAGGAGCTGTTAGTTATAAACACAGCAATTACCCTCAGGAGGGCAATGACTCAGTTCAACAGACTGTAAGATGCTCAGAAAAATAGGGGGCCCATAAATGCAAAAATATTATTGCAAGCCCTTTCCCCAAAGCATCCTCCATTCTCCTGGGATGTCGCCTGTTAGACCCAGCTGGATTGAGTTCTGCCATAAAATGGAACTCACCTGGCCTGAGGAGCAGGCGTCTGGTCAGACTGTAGACCCTTTGAGGAGGCAGCCCTCATGCTGCCTCACATCCCCCAGAGGAACAACGGTACCCAGCAGCCAGGAGCTCATAGAGGAAGGCTCCTGGCAGGCCTGGCTTCCCATCTTAGTTCATGAATGGTGGCCTAACCTTCTCTGATCCTTGGTCTCCTTACCCCACTCCGAGGATGAGTCCAAGACTTTGTGTAATCAACTTTTCGAACCCCAGGTGCTTTGAGAATCATAAAGCAATTTACAGGTGAATTTACATGATATCCCCCCCCCCCCGGCCCATCATCAGGGCATCAGGGTTCCAAGACACGCAGTGGATTCTGGAATCCCCCATGAACTTACACACTGTATCCTATTTTTCTAGTGTACACACACTGAAGGAAAAGTTTAATTTTAAATTAAATAAAAATAATAGTAAGGAATTGGCAATAAAGGCCAATAAAAATTAGAAAGATGAAATGATAGACTATAATAACAGTTATTTCTTATTTATGAATTGATTATCTCTTCTCAAATTGCCCATTGATTATTTTCTGGCCATGACTGACTGCAACTGAAAACATAAAAGGAGACCTGTGGAGAAGGGAGATCCCTGTACATGGATGGAAATGAGGAAAGCTGTGTGGGATTCTCACACCTCCATTATACTTTAGATACAACCCAGCTAATCCAGGAAAGGACAAATGGGCTGCACACAGATGCCTCCTGTTTCCTATTCCGTGGTCTCAGGACATAGGACAGAGCTCAATGAGAAGTACTCTTCTCAAGTCTTCCTGTAAGGTGATGACAACTGCCAGGAGCCCGAGGGATCAGAAACAGCTCCTCTTCCTCTTCCTCCTCCTTCCCCTCTTCTTCTTCTTTCTTCTCCTCCACCTCCTCCTCCACCTCCTCCCTCTTCCTTCTCCTCCGAATCCTCCTCCTCCCTTCTTGTTCTACTACTACTTCTTCTCTGTCTTATATTTTTGGTTGTGAGCCTAGCCTTTAACAGCTGAGCCATCTCTCCAGCCCTACTTCTTCTCTGTCTTAAAACAGGGTCTTACTATGTAGCTTTGGCTGTCCTGGAATTCCAATATGCAGGCCAGGGTGGCCTCAAACTCACAGAGATCTGCCTGTGAGTGTTGATATTAAAGGTGTGCACCAGGCCTGACAATGGAACTTAATTGAAGAGGTGTGTGTGTGTGTGTGTGTGTGTGTGTGTGTGTGTGTGTCTGTCTGTCTGTCTGTCTGTCTGTCTAGGTGGGTTTCTTAAATTTTTTGGACTTATGACCTCTCTTGCCTTAGAGATGTTTAAACTGCTCTTGATATGCAACTATGTAAAATAAGTATACAAAGCAAAATCTTACTGATAAAGAAATTTATTCTTGGGCTAAAGAGAAGACTCAGTGAGTAAAGAGCTTGCCATGCAAGCCTGAGGACCTGGGTTTGGATCTCTAGGGCCCACACAAAGCCACACACGGTAGAGTGTGTCTGTGAACCCAGCCTGCTATGATATGATGGGAGGTGGAGACAGGAGAATCCCCAGAAGCTCTGAGCTAGCTAGCTTAAGGTATACAGCAATAAATAACAAGAGAATCTGTCTCAGGCAAGCTTTGGGGAAGACAAGGACCAGCCTAGGAGGTTGTCCTGAGACTTCTCCATGAGCTCCATGGCATGCAGGAAGTGACAGGAGTACACATGAGTTAAAAAAGATACACACAGAGAAAGAGAGAGTAAAAAACTCTAAAACAATTCTTTAAGACATACACATATGTGTGTGTATATTTATGTACAAATAAATACCCAAGTTTCACCATTTATAACCATTTTACCACTTATTAAAGATGAAAGCAGATTGGCACATTGATGAGATGGGTGTGCTGGTTGATTTTTACATAAAGAATTAAATCCTAAACCGGGTGTGGTGTCACTGGCATTTAATCCCAGCACTTAGGAGTCAGAGGTGGGGGTGGGGCACGAGGTGGGATCTCTGAGTTCAAGGCCAGCCTGATTTACAGAGTGAGTTCCTGGACAGCCAGGGCTACACAGAGAAACCCTGTATCAAAAAACAAAACAACAAAACAAACTTCAATTTTGTTGACTATCTGATGCTACAGGACATAGATCATTATTGACTTTTTTTTCAGAGTTGATCAACATTTGATTTTGTAGTCCAGCACACAGCTTCATGTAAATACATCACACAAAAATGGGCATTTCAGAAACTGTTGGCAATTCTTCCCTAATCCCCAGCCAAAATTCATAGAACAATTTCTTATGAATTTAAATTAGAACCCAGGCAGTAATTAAATGAAATTTTATTTTGTGTGTACTTGTGTCTGTGTGCAATTGTGTATGAAGGAACAGAGAACAACTTGTGGAAACTACTTCTCTCCTTCCACCAGGTGGGTCCTGAGCATTGAACTCAGGTCCTCAAGCTTGGCAGCAAGTACCTTAACCCATTAAGCCATCATGCCAGCCCTCAAGCAGCAATTTGTAAAAGCAAACGTTCTAGCCCAATACAATTTAAAGATCTACTAATTGGATACCTACATGCTTAATAATGGTGGTAGTTTTGTTTTTCCGGAATTAAACCTGAACAGTGTATGTTGATATTGTATGGCACAAAACATGTTCATTACAAGGCACAGGGATTGTGTGGTCAGAACTGTCCAGAACCAAGGTTGCAGTGCAGTCATGTGATGTCACATAAGTGAGTGATGTCCTAAAAACCTTGGATTCATTATGCATTCAATTTTGAGTTAATGTTTGGTAATTGTACTTTCCCTCCCTCCTCCGCATCACCTTAAATTATAGTACTCATCCAGGGTCATCCCCATAGTTTCAAAGCTGAATCCCCAAGACAAAGTACAGTCTTTGGAGCCTGGCCACTGACACCAGCTCCTGAGTAGTCACAGTCCCTCACATACTTGGAATCTATGAATACATGGCCCCTGCACTCCCCTGCATTCGTCCCCTTCCATCATCTCTGGTCCACCTCAAAGAGCAAGTTCCTCCTCTTGTTGCATCCCCAGCCCCCCAATCTAATTTCACTGATCCACATTTATCACAGACCCTGACAAGCTCATGAAAGTTGGGGGTCTCTGCTGAGATATCTTGATCCATTAGCTATGGGATCATGAGGGGTGTCCCAGAAGAGAGCGGCAAAGAAGCAACATGGATACTCGTGTCACTGGTGCTGACCCTCCCATTTTGTGATCAATCTGCCCCCCAACCCCAGATTTGGAATGTGTGCTCCAGCAATATGCATTTTTTTTCTGGGCCCTTTTCTTTATCCTTTTGGTTTAATACTTTGAGTTTGTGCCTGGACCACGGACTTGGTTTAGGTGTCTGGCATTGGTGATCCAGGTCCCTGCTATCACCTCAGACTCTTATGTCACCCTGCTATCCCAGTTCAAAGGTCAATTCAGACAGCTTCTCCTCTATGCTCCACCTTTTTGTTCCATCATTTAGCCTTCTGTTTTGTAACTATTTGTTTTCATGACCGGGCCCCTCCCAGGACTGTGAGCAATTTAAAGATAGAGAGTGGGTGTCAAACATATTTCATAAATGAATGCATAATAAATTATAATCTGTCTGATTGAAGCAGTATAATCACTTGTGATGCTGTTATGAGTGACAGAGAGAATTATTTTTGTCACTCCTAACTTCCATGCCAAATGTCCCAAGAGGTAGGAGGAAGGGCCTCTGTGTGACTCACCCCACTGTGAACCAATGAGCATTTAAGATCTCCGTTGACTTCCCTGTGTGTGTCTATGTGTGTGTGGTGCACAGGGGCATGTAGAATTTGACATCAGGTGTCTTCCTCAATTACTCTCCCACTTTTTTTTTTCATTTTTATTCTTATAGGGGATAATATGAGCATAATCCCCTACTTTCACAAATTATGCAGTTGAGTTTCCTGCATTTAGAGACATCACAGGAGTCAGAATATCCCAGTACAATGGATAAGCCTCACCCTGGGAAACCACCTTTTTGGTCATGATACCTTCCCTGCCAGGTTAAGTATCCAAACTTGTTTTTTGAGACAGGTTCTCTCTCTCTCTCTCTCTCCTCTCTCTCTCTCTCTCTCTCTCTCTCCCTCTCCCTCTCCCTCTCCTTCTCTCATGCCCTCTTTTTCTCCCCCCTCTCTCTGATGTGCTTATTTTTTCTATGTATATAACTTTTGTCTGCCTGTGCGTATGTGTACCATGCAGTTGGCAGAAGAGGATATCAGAGCCCCTGGAACTGGAGTAACAGAGAGAGTAGTGAGGCAAACCTGGGTCCTCAAAAGTGCTCTTAAACACTAGAGCCGTTTCTCCAGTCCCTTGCAACAGTGTCTGATTGAACTGAGAGGTCACTGGTTAGGGCAGGCTAGCTGACCAATGAGTTCCAGGATCCTCCTGTCTCTGTCACTCCAACACTAGGGTTATCACTTGCTGGCACACTCAGTTTTGTATCCCTCGAAGTTCTGAACTTGCTCTGTACATGAGGCTGGCCTCAGACTCACAGAGATCTCCCTGCCTCAGCCTCCCGAATCCTGGGATTAAAGGCGTGTGCCTCCATGTGTTCCACACTTGGTTTTTGCCTTTTTTTGATAGGTGTTTGTCACCATGCTTTCACAGCAGGGACCTCACCAGCTGAGCCATCTCCCCAAGCCCCACCACTGCTTTCTCTGCAGCTTGACCACATTAGCACAGCCTGGACCCAGATGAGTCTGTTGCTTGGTTATGCATTTCAAACTTCATTTTAAAGTGGTCATGGCCCCTCACTGTTGCATCATGTTTCCACCATTACATTTCTTCTTTTATTACTGCTGTAAGATGTGAGTTAGGATCATAAAGAGGAGAAGAAGAAGAAGAAGAAGAAGAAGAAGAAGAAGAAGAAGAAGAAGAAGAAGAAGAAGAAGAAGAAGAAGAAAGCACTTCCAGCCATTTGCAGCTCTGAGAATCTAGAATAGGGTTGCCAGAAGCTGGCTGGGTGCCAACAGAGGAGGAAATGTTCCTCCATGTTGCCAGTCTTATCAGGGCTCCACAGCTTCTTGCCAAAATTTTAGGAAAATGATGTTCTACTCCCCGGGAGCTATGTGTCTATAGGTGGGAAGCCTTTCAACAAGTATTTTCACTATAAATACCTGGAGTGTGTTTTCCCTGGATTAAGTCTGCAATTTGAGCTCCATATTGTGAAATCCTGACATAGAGCTATTAATCACTGTGTGTAGTTAAGGAGCCATTGTCAACATTAGCCAGTATGTGAAGGTTTATAGCATATAGAATCCCATTTGAGATGTGGAATTTGCTCCACAGGAACAATTGGCATCTTTCTGATTGTGAAATTTCTCCTTTTGGAGTAATGATAAGTAGGAAAAAATGGGAATGGCTTTTGAAAAGCTAATAAGAGTGAATAGTGGCAAATAAATTTAATCTCAGCACTAGGAAGATAGGGGCAGGAAGATCTCTGTGAGTTTGAGGGTGGTGTAGTTTACATAATGAGTTCCAGGCCAGACAGGGTACATGAGGAGACCCTGCATTAAAGGGTGTGGTGGTTTAAAAGAAAATGGTCCCTAAAAGGAGTGGCACTATTAGGAGATGTGGCCTTGTTGGAACAGGTATGGTCTTGCTGGAGGAAGTTTGTCACTGTGGAGGTGGGTTTTGGCGTCTCCTATGCTCAATTCATGCCCCGTGAAACAGACCACTTCCTGCTGCTTGCAGAGCAAGATGTAGAACTCTCAGCTTTGTCTCCAGAACTATGTCTGCCTACATGCTGCCATGCTTCCTGCCATAATTGACTAAACCCCTGAAACTGTAAGCCACCCACAATTAAATGCTTTCTTCAACACATGTTGTTCACAAACATACATTTAGGCAAAACACTTAGTACACATGAAATAAAGAAATCTACCAAAATTATAATGAATCTCAACTATTCTTTTAAATATTTACTCTAGTTGATGAGGCTGGGCTTGGTGGGTAGGGTACCTAGCACAAAGCCCTGGGTTCTATTACCATCCCTACATAAACTGGGCATGGTGGTGACGTCTGTAACCTCAGCATTTGGGAGGTAGAAGAAGGAAGATCAGAAGTTCAAGGACATTGTCAGCTGAGTAGTGAATATAAAGCCAGCCTCAGCTATATTGAGACCTTATCTCAAAAACAACAAAATAAAATAATATTAATGGTAAGAGAAATGTAGTTAAGTAAATGTTTAGGTTCCTTTGAAGCCACTGCAATGATTGAATTCAGATAACTGAATTTGTTTATAAGAATGTGTGGGAGTTTTTTGTTTTGTTTTGTTTTGTTTTTTTCATTTGGCCAAAGAGTAAGTATGTCTATCTGGAAGAGACAGGTAAGACAAATTTTAAATTTGATTGTGCTGTCACTTAGCTAATCAACCAATCATCAAGGATCAGTGTCTACTAAGCACCTAGGCCCACGTCTGGAAGGGCAGAGAGCAGATTAATGTAGATTTCTTCCTTCTATGAATCTAGAATCTGCCCAGATGCCATCTAGTCTGAATTTACCAATTAATCTCAGATAGACCTGGGTTCAAATCTCTGTTCTGGAATTTGGTACCAAATGGAACTTTGGTAAATAAATATCTCTGAGTTATGTCCTCTTCTGTCAAATGAAGGTGCTAACAGCACCTATCTGTTGGGGTGACCATGGGAATGGGGCAGACATTGGGTTTATTTTCCAGGCCACATATACACTTGTTAGTCTTTAGCCTAAGGAAGCCCTGTGGTACACTACCCACACATGTACATCGTATACATGCACACTAATAATAAATATTTTTAAAACTAATTATACACTTTCTCACACTTCCTGTTGCTTGATTTTTTACAGGTGTGTACATGCCACGGTATGTGACAAATCTCCTGAGCTGGGGAAATAGTTCACTGGATAAAGTGCCTGCACTGTAAACTTGACAACCTGAATTCAGTACCAGGAACCTCTGTAAAAGCCATCAAAGCTAGACACAGTGATGCAAGCATCTGTGACACCTGCAGGCCTCCCGAAGGCAGGAGCTTAAGGATCCTTTTGCTACACAAAGAGTATGAGGCCAGCCTGTGCTACATGAGACCTTGCCTCAAATTTTGAAAAGAGAAAAGAAAAAAGCAAAAGTCCTTTGACGTATCCTTAAGCCAATACTGTAATATTAGCTTTATTAAAATGCTGACCCTTGAATAATGCATCTTGTTAAAAATGCTGGCCTGAAAGAAGAGATGGAAAGTCTGAGTAAAGCTGACCACTGAAGAACAATGGCCGTCCCAAGGAGAAGATCTTGTGCAATAGTTTTGAGTTTCAAACCAAATTGCCCACTTTTTTTTTTTTTCCTGGAACACTGTTTTCTCCTAGGACAAACTCAAGACTGACAAAAGTGGGCTGTGACTCAGAGCTGAGGATTTGGCTGACATCTGCTAAACAGAGCGAGCCAACCACCTAAAGGAGAAGACAGTTCCTCTCCTTTGCCTCTGATAAAATTCAAGCTTTGAATGGGAAACTTTTCAAAAACTTGTATTTGCCATTGGTCACTGGGCACCATTCCAGTACTTAGTGACCTTTGACAGGAGATGAGTGGGGATGGCAACAAGAGTGATGCCATAAAATGAACTATGTTAAAGCTGGTGAGACGGCTCATCAAGGTAAAGGCACTTGCCACCAAGCCTGATGAACTAACTGCATTTGATCCCTGAGACCCACATGGTAAAGGAGAGAGCCAGCTCTAGTACATTGTCCTCCACTGGAGAACTGTGGCATGCATCTGACACATACATCATATACACATGCAATAAGAAAGTAAATAAATGCCAGGCGTTGGTGGCACAAGCCTTTAATCCCAGCACTCAGGAGGCAGAGGCAGGCAAATCTCTGTGAGTTCGAGGCCAGCCTGGTCTCCAGAGTGAGTGCCAGGATAGGCTCCAAAGCTACACAGAGAAACCCTGTCTCGAAAAACCAAAAAAAAAAAAAAAAAGTAAATACATGTAGAAATATATAAAAATGTTAACATTTATATAACATTTAATTATATAATTCACTGAACCAGTATTTTCAAAATGACCAATACCTAACATTAAAACACACAGGAATAAAATGCTGCATTTCAAGTGCACTATGGGACGGGTATGGTGGCACACCCGTACTCAGGAGGCTGAAGTAAAAGGATCACATGATAGGAGAAATTTGGGCTGGCCTGGAACTCACAGAGATCCACCTGCCTCTGCCTTCAGGTTTGGCCGCTCAACATTTTAAGAATTGGAAAGGATCATTAGCCCCCGTTTCCAATAAAATAAAGCTACTTTCCCTGTCTCCTCTCCCACACTGATCTCTAGGAGAGTTTACTGAGCACTTCTCAGCCCTTACTACGGGGAACTGCTTGCTTTAGACCTTGGTTTCTATTTTGTGGCACCTAACACAAAGGATGGTTCTCATGTTGTTGAAGTCTGGGCTCCGCCTTCTGTGTATAAACTGCCGACATGGCTGCCCATGGTGTGCTTAAAGGGAAGATTTTTAAATTGTAAATATAAGAGTTGGGGGGGCAGCTAGAGTCATCTGGAACATTCCAGAGCAAAGAAACAAGTAGACTGAACATGGCCAGCAGACTGGGCATGGCCAGAGGGGAGAATAACAGGAGCTAGAGAATAGAGAGAACAGCTGTGAGGAGGGAAGCTTATGAGCTGGAGGGGGTTTAGGGTAGGGGAGGAGATGAGAAGGGCCTAGATGCTAGAGCATGGACTTTGAAATGTGCATCGGGTACTTGCAATACCAGCATGCACTTTGATGTGGCCGCTAGGTGCCACAGGTAGCCATAGGGCCCTTCTCCCAGAGGTAAGCGAACTGATTGCTTTTGGTAGAGGGGAACCAGTTTCACAAGTTCCCGAGGAATGGTGACTTTTATCTAACCACCAGAAATCCTCTTACAGTCCAGGTTGAGCCCATTTCTGGACATTGGACTGCCTTTTGGGGCTTGGGATGGAGTTTCCTTAGGACCTGACATTCTGCAAATATCTAAACAGGTTTTTGATGTTGATACTATCTCTGTTGTCAAGGAATTTATGAACTGGTGGGAAGAGCTAAACAATTTTGCAAACATGTAGTACTTTGGAAGTTATTTCTTTTGTAAATCACATTTACTAATTTATTTTGCTTGTGTGGTGTGTGTATGGGGGGGGATGGCACATGGAAGTCAGAAGACAGCTCTCTGGCATTGTTTCTTCTCTTTCTACCTTGTGGGTTCCTGGCAATAGCATTCAGTTAATCAGACTTGGGGGTAAGTGCCTTTACCTGTTAAACCATCTCATCAGTGCCTAAAACCTATTTCTAACCTATAATACTTACATACATACATACATATACACACACATATATTTTAAAATGTATTTGTTTTATTGAGAAAAAGTTTCACACTGTAGCTCAGGCATGCCAGAAGCTCACCATGTAGCCTCAGCTGGCCACAAACTCAGAGAAGTCTTCTTACCCCAGCCTCAGAAGTACAGGGATAGGGGATATAGCTTAGAGCATGAAAATTTGACTGCAGAGTTCTGGAGTTACAGGTATAGGCTACCATACCTAGGGAAACCTCCACCCCATCCCCACTGCTTTGGAGATACGATTTCTCTGTGCTTACAAGGTTGGTTTTCAACTGGTCATTCTTCTGCCTCCACTTCTCTAGTACTAGGATTGCAAGTGTGAGCCACCAAGCTCAGTTCAGGTCTGTGATCTTGCATCCAAATATAAAGCTTCAGCTACAGATGGTGGTTGTTTTCTATGGTGGCTTCTAGGTAGCAGGGACAAAGACAGGCAGCCACAGCCACTCAGGAGAATGGAAAATGGAAAAGCACATCAAAAGAGCCTTAAGGACATTCCTTGTTCCTGACTTTTCTTTTTCTTTCTTTCTTTTTTTTTTTTTAAGACAGGGTTTCATTTATTCCAGGATACTCAAATTTGCTTTGTAGTGGAGAATGCCCTTGAACTTCTGATCCTCTTGCCTCCACCTTCTGAGTGCTGGAATTTCAGGAATGCAATATTTTGCCAAACTTATGAGGTGCTAGGGAATCACACCTAGGTTTCATGTGCTGGCTACTTAGGATCACAGTTTGGACACACGTCTTGTATATAGATTCATGGTCGCCACCAGCGGGTGATGACATGGGTGAAGCCACCTGTGATTTTGTTCCTTGTCAATTTTCCTCTGTAGATTGCTCTTGTTTTCTTCCCCTTTGCCTAAATATGATTCTAAATAGAAATGAATAAGATTAATTATTAGAATTAGCCACTCCAAGGAAAAACAAAACACCAGCCATATAATCTAACCAGCAACCTTCCTTTAGATTGGAAACCCTAGGACATCTGGTGACTTTTCAGGTGACATCAGAATGTGCATCAGTGAAATAGACAGTTGCAGGATTGCTGAGTCTGCTCTTCACCCATTCATGGTTTACAAATGTTTCTTCAAGTTTTCTCTATAAGTCCTCTGCTTGTGGTTGTTAACAAAGATGACCCTCGTGACAGCAGTGTGGCCATTTTTCAATCAGCTAATTTGTTATAATGAAGCTTTGTCTCTACCATCACCTTGTCTCTTGCCTAATTAATTGGCTCTATCACATGCACTTTGACTAAGCCTTTGCTTGATAATGAGAGGGTGATGGAAACTTTGAGAGATGGGGCATAACAAAATTCAGGTCCCTTGAAGGGGATATTGGGACAGCAGCCCTTTCTTGTCTCTCTTTGCTCCTTGGCTACAAGGTGACCAGATTTCCTCCACCACATGCTCCCATCATACTGACTCACCCCAAGCCCCAAAGCAATGGGAGCCAACAGGCTCTGAATTACTTCTTTTTAAGCAGTTTATCTTGGACATTCTGTCACAGTGAGGGAAAGCTGGCTAGCACACTGAGAGAGAAAGCTGATGGAAGAAGTGTCCATAGATCATTGGCTACAGGACAGACAAGCTTGCTATGATAGCAATACTCAGAACCACTGGAGCTGGGCATGGTGACACATGCCTTTAATCTGAGCACTAGGGTGAACAGGGAGACCCTGCCTGAAAACAAGACAAAGGAACAAATCCTTTCACAAGGGCACGCCTCACTCTGGAGGAAAGCTCCATACAGGAAGCAACTTTTCAGTTAGACTTTTTTACTTCTAGGGACAATGGAGTCAACTGGAAGAGCAGGTAGAAGGAAGTGTGAAGAAGCCATGTTGGCATGACAAAATTTCCTGGGGAGATGCTAAACGTATCTACTTACTCCTTGTGATCCCAGGACAAACCAAAGTATAGACATCACCAAAGCCAAACTTGGTGAACCCTGAGTTGTTTTTGTTTTTGTTTTGTGTTTCTTTTTTGTTTTTGTTTTTTTTTTTTTTTCTTGAGACAGGGTTTCTCTGTGTAGCTTTGGAGCCTGTCCTGGCACTCACTATGGAGACCAGGCTGGCCTCGAACTCACAGAGATCCGCCTGCCTCTGCCTCTGCCTCTGCCTCCTGAGTGCTGGGATTAAAGGCATGCACCACCAACGCCCGTCGAGCCCTGAGTTTTACTGGAGTGACTTACAGGAATATGGGTGAGGGGTTACTTACAGGAGCAGAAATTACTCTCAGACAGCTGCCTCACCAAAGCCCACATCAGCAAGGGTGTCAGCTAACGACAGCTGGGAACCTGGAGCCCACTGCACAGCCTGAAGGCAGCTCAACAGATTAGAGAGTGTCCTTTCCAGTTATCTCAGTTGGTCTAAACCTCTTGGAGGCAGCATGGCTGATTTCTGTTTCTTACAGGCAGCTGGTCTGGTCTCAGAGCCTTCGTTGCAGCTTAGCTTATCTGATTACTCTTTGAAGCTTTTTTTTTTTTTTTTTTCCTTCTCCTTTATCTGAGAGTCTTCTTTTGCAGCTGGGCTATTCGGGAACCTGAGATACAAGAGAACTTGCCTCAAAACAAAAAACAAACAAGAAAGAAAAGCCCAGAAGTCCCTTGTTTTGGTCATCTTCCTGAATGATACAGATGCCTTTACAAAAGCCCCCAGCATCAGCACAAAAGACAATGTGGATGGAGCTGGAGTTGTAGCTCAGTGGTAGATCACTTCCTTAGCATGCATGAGGCTGTGGAATCATCCCTAGCCTACAAGAAGGAAGGGTAGGAATGAGGGAGAGAGGAAAGGAAGGAAGAGAAAGATGGCTGGTGCGGGTGTGGTGGTAGACTTCCGTAAACCCAGCATTTGGGAGGTGAAACAGAAGAATCAAGAGCTTGAGGCCAGTCTCAACTACCTAGTGAGTTTGAGGCTAGCCTGGGATACATGAAATATTATCTCATACTATAAATCAACAGATAATGAATTAGAGGAGGAAAGAGCAATATTGTGTGTCAGAGGGTCTAAAGATATTACTCAGAGGAAGAGTGCTTGCCTAGCAAGAAGCCTTTGGGTTCGAGCCATAACATAAATAAAACAAAACAAACTAGCATAGACCATGCCTGAGCAGTGACGACTAAAGAGGGACCATCAGGTTAGAAGAGTCCTTGGCCCACTTGGCAGTGCACCCTCCCAGGCACTCACAAAATGCATTTACTCCAGCAATTGTGACCTGACCCTAAGAATTTCTAGTGGCTTTCCTTATGAGTTAAAAGTGCTCAAGATCTCGAAGGCAAGCAAATGTCTGCCATAAATCAATATGTATCTCAATCACGCATCACTTTTTATTATTATTATTATCACTTTTTGAGACAGATTATAGCCCAGGCTGGTCTCAAATCCACAGTGAGGCTAAGGATGACCTTGAACTTCTGATCCTCCTGCCTTCACTTCCAAACACTGAGATTACAGGTGTGTGTCACCTTGCCCATTTTATGTGATGCTTGGGGTGGAACCCAGATGTGGTGGTTTGAATGAGAATGGCCTCCATAGGCTCATGTAGTTGAATGCTTGGTCCCCAGTTTGTGGATCTATTTATTTGGGAAGGGTTAGGAGGTGTGGCCTTGTTGAAGGAGGTATGTCACTCAAGGTGGGCTTTGAGATTTTAAAAGGTCACCTCTCTCTCTCTCTCTCTCTCTCTCCCTTGTGGTTATCTCATCATGCAAGTTCTCAGCTACTTCTCCTGAACCACACTTGCCTGCTACCAGGCTTCCTAAAACAAACAAACAAACAAAAAACTTTGTTGTGAGAGATGGAGCTCAGTGGTAGAAGATTTAACTAATGCATACAATGTCTTGGGCTGGATTCCCAGTACCACTAGAAACAAAAGAAACAACAGAAGCCAGGGACCCCCTGTTGTAGAATATTAATTGAAGATATCTTACATTTGTTTATGCAGTGGAACATTTGTTTACTGATGCAAAGATGTGTTGCATTCTTTTATGTTGCATTTGTTTAACTCTGTGAAGCTGCATTACTTTGTCTGTCTAAAACACCTGGCCAATAGCTGGACAGAGAAAGGTTAGGCGGGGCTGGCAAGCAGAGAGAATAAATAGGAGGGGAAATCTGGGAGAAGAGATCAAGAAGTGAGAGAAGGAAGAGGATTCCAGAGGCCAGCCACCCAGTTACATAGCCAGCCACAGAGCAAGAAGTAAAGAAAAGTATACAGAAATAGAGAAAGGTAGAAGCCCAGAAGCAAAAGATAGACAGGATAATTTAAGAAAAGCTGGCTAGAAATAAGCCAAGCTGAGGCCAGGCATTCGTGAGAAATAATAAGCCTCTGTGTAATTTATTTGGGAGCTGGGTGGTGGGCCCCCAAAAGAGCCAAAAGAGTTAAAAAAAATCAACAACCCCCAGTAACTACACAGGGCTGGGACTCAGGTGAGTCTCACAGTCCTTCCTGTCTACTGTTATGCTCTTCAGACTTTCTCTTTGACCTGGAACATCCTGCTTGCAGGAGCCCCACTTCCCACCCACCTCCATTCCCTGGGGGATCTACTGCTTGCTTTAGATCCAGGGTCCCCCTACCCCTTTCATCCCTGTCTCTGCAAACCTATTCATTGTCCCCCAGCAGCCTGCTTGCAGGGCTCCTCCCCACAACCTACTTCTATTCCCTGGGACTCTGCCTCCTGGTGCAGACCCTGGTTCCCCTAACTCTTTCCCATGGCCCCTCTCAGCCTGTCCACTTAGGCCATCTCCATTCCTGTTACTGACCGTCTGAAGCACTCTCTACTAGGGACCCCACAGTCATCCCACTTGACTAGGATCCAGAGAAGACAATAGCAACCAAACAATGGAGCAGCAACCCAACAAAGATGAGATCAGATATAGACACCAAGACACACCTCAGACATCATACTCCAGATGCAGATGCTTAGATAGACCCAAGCACAAAACCACAGACACGAACTAGCTAAGATAATATGACTCCACCAAAAGACATAACCCTATTGCAGTAGGCCTTGAGAAATGCAAAATAGCTGAAGCATACGAAAGGACTTCAAAATAGCAATTATGAATATGTTCAAGAATCTTGTAGTAGTTTGAATGAGAATAGCTCCCTTAGGGTCATATATTTGAATATTTGGTTCGAAGTTGATGGACTGCTTAGGAAGAAGGCATGGCCTTGCTGAAAAAGGTGTACCAACAGGGGTGGGCTTTGAGGTTTCAAAAGCCTATGCCAGGTCCATTCGTGCTCTCTCTGCCCCCAACTTGTGGATCAAATGTAAGTTTTCAGCTACTACTCCAATGCCAAGCCCACCTTCCTGCCACCATGCTCCCCACAGTGATGGGCATGTACTCACCCTTTGAATCTGTAAGCAAACCCTCAATTAAGTGCAATGATAATACAGGGAGGGACAACTAACACTAAAGGTTATTTGTAAAAACCAAATCGAAATCTACCACTGTAGCTTCTTAAAACATATGCATATGAAAGAGATCTAAATGGAGCCACCAAATAGTAGGAAAGAAATGCCCCAACTAGACATCCTCTGCTACCATGTTAAACCTCCAGTGCCAGGAATGGGTTACATTGGCCAAAGGCAGCCTATGGAAAATCCAAACATCACAGACCATTGTCAAGTCTGTTGGCTACTCTCCACAACTAGATGATAAGACCCTATTGATGAAGATGTAGCTTACACATGCCATCAAACACAAAGAAGATGAGCTGGTACCTAACTAGAAGCTTTACCCCTATTGGCTAGCATTCATAGTATTAGAAGGTACTCTGTACTCTACTGAAGGAGAAAGGTAATCATCAGTATCTTAAAGCTACAAACCCTGTGACTTACAACAGTGACCTACCTGTGAGATATTATGGTACAATAGTGGCACAAGTGTTATGGGAGTAAACACCCAATTTCTAATTGACTATGAGATGGAGCCTGTATACTTGACTCTGCTCAAGTGGCCAAGAACCTGAGAGTAGATAGATCATTGACTAGGGGAAAAACCTAATACTACTCTGCTAAAGGAACATAGCACTAAAATGACTCCCAGTGACATACTACTAATACCCAGTGCTTCACTCAACCCACATCAGAGAATGGGAATCAGTAGAGGGGAATTTACACAGAGACCCACAACTGGACAACTGGCGAAGAGTAAGAGACTCTGTAGCACAGAGTCCTAAATGGGATGTCTTCATTAAAGCTCTCCCCTTAAAACTCAGAAAGATATGTAAAAGAGAAGAAGGAAAGATTGTAACAGTCAGAGGTGATGGGTGACTCTAAGGAAACAGTGTCTTTCCAACACAACAAGACAAATGAACATGTAAAATCACAGACTGTGGAGGCACACACAAAACCTGCGCAGGTTTAAACCAAAGTCCCAGCACTGAGATGGGAAAGGGGACACAGGTTCCCACTCCTAACCAAATTATCTGCTGTTGATACCACCAGCAAAAGAAAAATCAGGTTTTCCCCACCCCAAATGGAGTCTTTCTGGATACACTAAGCACACTTCAATGCAGGCCCCATGCCCAAGAGTAGTTGGACAGCATGAAATAATGGTTTTTATTTGTAGTCTTTTTTTTTGCCTCATTTTGCTTTGTTTAGGCATTGCTTTGTCTGGTTTGTGTTTTGTTTATTTATTTTTATTTCCATTTTTGCAATTTTGTGTATTTGTTTCTTTGTTTTTATTTGATTTTTTTAAACAGAAAAAGAACATGAATCTGGGTAGATAGGGTTGTGGGGAGGATCTGAGAGAATTAGGTGATCAAAATATATTGTATGAAAATATTTTTTCAAAAAAGAAAGGAAAGAAAAAAAACAAGTTTGGCATTATAATAAGGGACTACAGATTCCTGCCTGAGGATCTACAGCCTGGGAGAGTATTCAGCAAATTGGGGCTGCTCACTAAGGCTCACTGGCAAAACTGTGTGGCAGAAACTCAACCAATTTAATTTCACAAACACCCACACAATATTATAGAGGAAAAATTTAGAGCAAAAAAAAAAGCCTAGATAATTGCCATACATGTTTCTACAAACTTGAAACAGCAACAACTTGCCTGTAAACACTTCCCTTGTAGAGTCAGTTAATAGGATATACAGCACATAGCAAAAGAAATCATTAGCCTACAAAGCCTTTGAAGACCACAGCTTCTTGTGAACCATGACAACTCCTGAAGATTGGGACTGAAAAAGTGACATACATTTTAAAATTTGTTTTACTTTATGTGTTTTTTTCTTCATTTGTTTATTTAGAGTGCTGTAGATCAAATCCAGGGCTTCATTCATGCCAGGCAAGTGCTCTGTCACTGAGCTACATTCCTAATCCAAAGTGACAACTTTCTAAAGGGATAGGGCAGAGTAAATGTATGTGAAAGAGAAATGGCCCTTGGCTGTCTTATCTGCATAGTGAAGACACTGTTACCCTTAGGTTTCCATCTGGGCCTATGAGGTAGGCCCAAGGCTCTCTCTTGACACCTTGCCTCCTTGCCTCCTTTGCTTTAACTAGAACATCTCTGCTCTCATTGATTTATGTTGGGTGGCTA